TGTAGAAACAAATTCAAGATGAATCAAGTATGCAAGATTGCACCAAAATTTCATTGTATAAATTTACAAGTGAATTGGAATTCATTGTTTAAAATTACAAGGGAATTGATATACACTTTACAAGTTTCTAAATCTTAAAACTCAAATCACAAGTTCACAATGTAACAAATTCCTAACAATGCACTAAAACTACAAAGGAATTTCTTCATCATCAAGCTTTCTTCAAGTTCTTCAAGTCACTCTTCGTCAATTCCCCCTATCGTCCAATTTTCTCGTACATGTAAACAAAAGGAGAGAATTAATTAGCAAAAATTCATGTTGGAACAAGAATGGAAAATTTCAAAGAAATCTCTACATTTTCATCATTAGGGATTGGTAAGAAGAATCAGAAATAAGGGGGGGGGGGGGGAATGTTTCGTCCGTATTTGGTCCATTGCAAATCACAATCTATTAATTGGTTCACAGAGGACAAAATAAGGAGAAATACAAGTCAAAGTCAATAGTTGATCATGGTTTCAAATGCTACAAAAAAATAGTTTACATCACAATAAAAAAAAGAACAATCACAAGAGGCCAAAATGCTGTCAAAACGGACTGCATTGCAGCTCTCCATAGGCTGTCTATAAGAGGCCAAAATCTGTCAAAATAGCTGCAAATATACAGCTTAAAATTGTACATATATAAGCCAAGTCAGAACTGTAACAAAAAAGGAGCAAAAGCAGCATAACACATATGTTCAAACCCAATTGCCTTTTCCCCCCAAAAGTTTGTTATAACAAGAGGCATTTCGGGACAGAAGGAAGAGAGAACAATTTCATTATTCAAAAAGAACCAGCAGCAAGAAGAGATATAACAAATCATACAAAACCCCAAAGAATCTCATCATCATTTTCTTAATACCACCCTTCAGAAAGGAAGAGAGTACAGGAAAAAAAAGGATAAAAACCAACTTCCCTGTCAAGCAAAAGCCAGCAACAAGGTAAGTTTCCATCACTTCTCTGCATTTACCATAAAATTTGTCATCTGCATACATTTCTGTTTTTTTGTTAAATAATCAAATCCAAAAAAAACAGCAACAGAACAGAACAAACCAACAAACCAACAAATCTGGAAAAAGAAAATATAAACCAGCAACAGAACAGAACAAACCAACAAACCAACAAATCTGGAAAAAATAGTATAAACCAGTCACAGAACCAAAGCTGACCACCACCCTGTTTATCTAAATATCATAAAGAGAACCAGCAAAACAAATCACCATCCAAAAAAAACCAGAAAAATATAATCATCGTTCAAAGCCAACAAACCCGTCACCTTCCTTTTTCGTCAACCTTGTATAAACTGCAATACAATAAGCCCTAACACAAATAACAAAATAGAACAGTAGCTTGCAATAATCGATCAACCCTAAGCCTTAAGCACTTACCATTAAATCAAAACAGAGTAAAACACAAGAAGGATTAGAAACAAACAGCTTCCGCAACTCCCATCTTGTTACCTCACTTTCTACCGCGACGCACAATGAACAGTATCAACAATAATCTTTGCAATCTTCCTCCTCCCCGCTCAACACGTCATAATACCTCTCAACCTCCATACTGATACCCACAAACCACCCTATATTCCGCAAGCTTAACAAGATCACGCAGTAATACTCCCTTTGTCTACTTCCATTGTACAACCTCCAAACAACAACTTCCCTTCTGAGAGGAAACCGAAAATAAGGTGAATCGGAAAAGCAGAGAGAGATAGCGATTTGCGAAGAAGATGGGGTGGGATTTGGATACGTTGTGCCTGGTTTGTTCTAGTTGTAAATAAAAAAAAATTAATCAAATAATGTTGAACATATGCAGCGGCTAGGGTTCTTGTAACCCGTTTGACTTTTTGAGGAGAGAGGGTTGGACCTGGGTTAACCCGACCCGGTCCATTTTGGCGGCCCAGCTCTATATACATAGTTTTTTTTTTGTTTTGTTTATTATTATTTTCTGTTTTGTTTGATGATTATTAGTTCTTGGGCCTAACAATTGACATTCCCCCCCCCCCCCCCCCCCCCCCCTTGGTTCATTACACACACCTCCATTTATTTGTTTCTATTCTTTTGGCTATGTTTATTAATTTAAATAAAAATATTTTTACTTAGTGATTTCTAAAAAAACATATATAGACATTTTTTTAACTAAATATAAAAACATTATTTTGTTATTGTTAATTATTTCGCTAATTAATTTTTATCTAATAGCTTGTTTTCAGTTTAATTAATTGCTTATTTTCAATTCGATTTGGTTGTATTATTTGTTATTTATACTTTTAATCGCATTCGACTCATCCCCATTTGTAAAAATTGTTACCCCATTCCCGAACACTTTGTAATAGCGTAGAATTTCAATTCCCGCAATTTACTATTTTCCTTATACTGTATAGTAATTAGGCGTGCATGGCAAGATTCAAACAATCAATCGCTAGATAACCTAATCAAAGAACAAAATAACTTGAAAACAAACACACTTTTTCACACGCGCACCCCTAAGGTAACCTCGCTCGTTGCCTCGGAAATACAGTCATGTCCCTCGAATATGGGACGCTTTAGCAATGACCCTTCGATAAAAAGATCGTAGTCCCTTAATGACCCTCGATGTTGCCTTCGATAAAACGATCTCGTTCCTTACGAAAATTGCTAAAGCATCTCATAACTTGCTTTCGATGACTGTAAAATTGACATGCGCCTGTCCCTTCACATCCAACTATGGGGCTTCTTACCAAATCAATGGTAAGATAGCAACGTCTAAAGGAGAAAGAAAAGAACATTTAAGACATTTCGAGTGGGTAGATTCGCTCCTAGTTACTCGCTTGCTCACGACAAAAACATTTTTGCACCTACACTTTCATCTCAAAACACTTTCAAAAGACAAAATATTCTGTATACGTTCTTATAGAGACGAGAACCATTGCAAAACATCTTTTCAAAACATTTTTCGAAACACAATCCACAAACACATCTTTGAACCACTTTTCGAAATAAAAACTTTGTACGCGTTCTTATAGAAACGAGAACCATTACAAAGAGATTTTCCAAAATACTTTCAAAGCCCACACCACAAGCACATTGTCAAATAAAAGCAAGTGATCTAAACGAGTAACTAAGAGCCCATGAAAAACCATGGATGAAAGGGATGCTAATACCTTCCCTTTTCATAATCTACCCCCCGAACCCGAGAAATAATCTCGAAAGGTCTTTCCTGTGTTTTTTTACCTTTCCTTTTGGATAAAAGAAAAGCCGGTGGCGACTCTTGCTATCCGCACAAATGCGATCAAAACGCAAAACATCAAGTCGGTTCTCCCACCGTATCACACTTTCAAAAAAACATGCTTTTTCAAAAATACTTATGGCATATTTTCGTTGTGAAATTACAATACCATCTTTAGATTGGACTACTTCAATACCTAAAAAATTAATGGAGTTTTCCAAAGTCTTTAGTGTTAAATTGATTAGAAAGATGCTTCTTCAATTCGAGTACTCCGTTTGGAACACTATCAATGATAACAATATCATTTTCATAAATAATAAGATAAATACACGCTTAGACTAAGTGATGATAAAAAACAAAAATGATCAACTTGACTATGAATCATATTGAGCGATCGCACTACTCTATTAACTTTGTAAAATTAAGCACGGTGAGAATGCCTAAGTTCATAAAGAAACTTGTGTATGTGAAAATTCATGGAATATGACTCCTCTTAAGCAACAAACTTAGACGGCTGTTCTATATACATTTTTTTCTTCAAGATCACCATGCAAAAATAAAACATTTTTAATTAAAATTGATAGAGAGGTTAATGTCGGATGAGAGAGAGTGTAAGAGAGAGAGAGTAATATATGTAATTTTAGTTTCACGTGAAAAATTATCAATAATCCAACCAAAAAAATGAGAATATCCCTTAACAACCAAATGAGTTTTAAATCGATCAATCTTACTATCGGAATTGACCTTCCTCATATAATGTCACTGACAACTTACTAAAGAATTTATTGAGAGTGAATGAATCAGTTCCTAAATATTTTTCTTTGAAGTGCACACATCTCGTTAATCACTGTTTGTCTCCACTTTCAATGGGATAAAATTTTACCAAGAAATTTAGGAATAGCTCATAAGACAAATAAGAAAAGAAAGTATAATGCAAAGGAAAAAGACAGTAATAATTTGAAGGGATATAATGAGGGGATGATTATGAGTATGACATATACATTTACAAATAGTAATCGGAAGATTCGTTGTTAGATCCAGTAAAGGTGATGGAACTTATGCAAGTTAGAAATAACCTCAATATCAGGAACATGCATCAAGACAAGACATGTACAACAAAAGGTGGTTGGAGTTGTTAGTATGTTGAAGAGGTCGTTGAGTGGGAGGGATTGGTAGAAAGTTCATGGTTTTTTTTTCAAGAGAGACAACAATAGTGAGCTCATATGGATCATATATGGATGGTGGTAGATGAAATTGTAGACGGGTAGGTATGACATCAAGAAGTAGGTTAATAGGCACATGGAGTAACTCAAAGATAGAAACAAAAAAAAAAGCACCATCATCCGAAATGAGGTATTGTTGAAGAGTGACAATGCTAACCTTTTTTGAAACTGATGATAACTAATAAAGGCACGCTTGAGTGACAGGATGAGAGTTTGTCAAGACTAGAAGAGAGATTATGGACAAAGTTTAAGGACCAAATGTAGATCAGTATTAGGAAATATCACAAAGTTGACGACTTGGTCATCAATGAGACAAGATGGCATGCAACATCTCCTCAAAAATGAGATGAAATATTATCATGAAGGAGAAGAATTCAAATAGTTTCAATGAAATGTTTATTTTTGCTTTCGGCTACTCCATTTTATTATGGTTTATGTGTACAATTAATTTTATGAAGAATACAATACCACTGTAGGCCATAAACTTTTGAAAATGATGGGACAATATTTTCTGGTTTATCATTATCCAGTTATGCAAATCAAATCCGGACTTTGTTTCAAAGCAAAACCATTTGTTGAGACTCTGGTAGGTAAGTAAGTAGACATAGAAAGAGAAGATAAATAAGTCTTATTTATCAGAAATATGATAAGATGTCAAAATAAATGAGTCTTATTTATCAAAAATGTGATAAGATGCACAAAAATCGAGAATCCATGAACTTGAAAAGGGGATTGAGAGATGCAAACAAATAATTTACAAGTGTTTGCAACCGAATGAACAGATTTAAGATACTGGAGACACTTTACTCATTGAAGAAAATCTTTCTAAGTTGACAAAAAAGTTGTACAAGGATCTATCGTCTGATCAGTATCAAATATTGCAATTTAAGGACATGGAGGGAGCCCATGAAATTTTCAACAATAAACAAGATTGTGTCTCAAATGATGACAATTTTCACATTTGGAGCGATATTTTGGGGGGGGAAATCATCCTCGAGAATTAGAACTTGATATTATACTAAAATCCAACAAAAGTAGAGGGAGGGAGGGAGAGAGAAGACGAAACAATTTTTTTAGTGTTCAGGCAGTATTGGGTTTGAGAATAGTACAACAATGAACTCATGGAAAAGAGATAGTAGATCAACCTGGTAACATAGTTTAAGATTGTCTTGTATTAGAAAGAAGAATAGAGAAGAGAAGAGTTTTTCATCTGTAACAGAATTCTGTTATTCTGTTTTCTGTTTTTCAGTTAGTTACAAAAGGCTCCTTGATGCTTTATATACAGCATCAAGGGTAACCTGCTATTATAGGACACACTGTAACTTACAGCTGCCAGTCAAATACATAAACAGAAATAGGGACTAAGCTACTTATGTACTCAATACCCCCCACACAAACTGAGGGGAGCTAGCTACCCTGAGTTTGTGTATAAGCTCCAGGAATTTGGTGGAAGCCAAGGGCTTGGTCAACACATCAGCAAGCTGATCAGTGCCAGGAATGTGCAGCACCTGAATTTGTTTGGCCAGAACCTTTTCCCTCACAAAAAATAGATCAATCTCCATATGCTTAGTTCTGGAATGTAAAACAGGATTATGAGCTAATAGGACAGTTGACTGGTTATCACACAGTATGATGGGAGGCTTGGTTTGAATACACAATTTCTGCAACAGTGTTTGTATCTAAAGAAGGTCAGTTGTAGCTTGAGCTAAACTTCTGTATTCAGATTCAGTGCTGGACCTAGCAACAACAGATTGCTTCTTTGACCACCAGGCAACTAAATTAGCTCCAAAGAAAATAGCAGCATCGGATGTACTTTGTCTATCATCTGGATTTGAAGCCCAATCAGCATCACAATAGACATGAAGAGAGGGAACAGCCTGAGGGGAAATAGGAATGAGAGATAAACCATGATTTAGAGTAACTTTCAAATATCTGAGAATCCTTTTGACAGCTTGCCAGTGAGAATCAAGAGGATGTGACATAAACTGACATACTTTGTTAACAACATAGGTCAAATCTGGTCTGGTGATGGTGGCATACTGCAAGGCACCAACCACAGATTTGTACAGAAAAGGATCAGAAAAGGCTGCAGACCCAGTTTTGGTGAGTTTGCAGGTGGACTGCATGGGAGTGCTAACAGAGCAGGCTTCCAACATGTTAGTTTTCTGCAGTAAATCTCTGAGATACTTAGTTTGAGTGAGGAGCATAGAACCATTAGCTGACTGCTTGACCTCAATGCCCAGAAAATAGTCAAGATCCCCAAGGTGCTTGAGAGAGAAAGCAGAATTAAGCTTGTGAATATACTCATTGAGAAGAGTAGTAGAGTTGCCTGTGAGGATAATATCATCTACATAAACAAGTAGATAAAGAGAGTGCCCTTTTGAGAAGTATGTGAAGAGAGAGGGGTCACACTTGCTGGCTTTAAAGTTGAGCTTGAGAAGAGTTGATTTCAGTCTCTTAAACCACTGCCTTGAAGCCTGTTTCAGGCTATACAAAGGCTTGTTGAGTTTACACACCAGAGAGGAGTCAGAGTGAACAAACCCTGGAGGATGTTCCATGTAAAATTATGTAGCAAGGAGTCCATTAAGAAAGGCATTATTGACGTCCAACTGCTGAATAGACCACATGTGAGTAATGACAATAGTGAGAATAACCCTATAGTAACAGGCTTTACAACAAGTGAAAAGGTCTCAGTAAAATCCAGCCCAGCCTCTGATGGAAACCTTTGGCTACCAACCTGGCCTTGTATCTGTTGATGGTGCCATCAAGATTTTCCTTGAGCCTAAATACCCACTTGCATCCAATAACATTCTTGTTGGGGGGTAAAGGCACAAGAGACCATGTGAAATTTTTCTGTAAGGCATCAAATTCATCTTGCAAGGCTGCCTTCCAATGCACATCAGCAAGGACATGTTTAACATATTTAGGCTCAAAGTGAGTGAGAAGCACCCTAGGATCCAATCTAGGCTGAGAGAATCCATATTTGGCCCTAGTTATCATATGATGAGAGTTTTGAGGGATAAAATATACAGGAATAGCATTAGGGGGTACATGTGGTGCAGAAGCAGTGTCTGAAAATGAGCTGAATAAAGGGTCAGCTGGACTAGAGAAAGATGAGAGTGTCCCTGAGGAGTTGCTGTCAGCAGTAGGTGAAGAAGTTGCAGAACTACCAGTTGGTGATGAATCCTTAGGGCTAGAAGGGACAGAGGTGGGAGCATGAACATATGAGGTAGTAGGAGAGGCAGGATGGAGAGCATTTGAAGAATTAGGGATAAGAGATTGTGAAGAAGTGATGTGAGGAGTAAGAGCACTCAAAAGGGGACTAGAGTAATGGGGTGCCAAAGATGTACTGGGGCTGGAAATATCATTGGGTCTGGAAAAAAATAAATCTAGATATGGAAACCTATACTCATTAAAGAGAACATCCTTTGAGATGTATAACCTGCCAGTAGGAACCAGACACCTATAGCCTTTGTGAGAGGTGGAATATCCAAGAAAGAGGCATTCTTGATATCTGGAGTTAAGTTTCTGAGAAAGATAAGGTCTCAAGAGAGGAAAACAAGCACACCCAAAGACTTTCAAAAACTTGTAATCAAGTTGTTGATGGAATAGAAAAGTGTAAGGAACCTCAAAATGAATGGAAGCAGACGGCAGCCTGTTAATAAGATATACAGCAGTGGAGAAGGCATAGTCCCAATATGTTAAGGGAAGGGAAGCATGACTAAGTAAAGTAAGCCTTAAGTCCACTATGTGCCTGTGTTTTCTTTCAATGACACCATTTTGATGGTGTGTATGTGGACAGATAATACGATGGTTAATACCCATCTCAGTTAGATATTTAGTAAATGGCCTGAATTCACACCCCCCCCCCAGTTAGACTGAACAGCTTTAATACGTGACTCAAGTTACAGTTCAACCAATGCTTTAAACTTTTGGAAAAACAGAAATGGCTTCAGACTTAGCTTTAAGAAGATAGATCCAAGTAAACTTGGAATAAGCATCCACAAAGGACATGTAATACAAGAAACCAGATGAAGAAGCCTTGGGTGAGGGTCCCCATAGGTCAGTATAAACAAGTTCAAGAGGTTTTGTATAAACTGTGTGTGAAGTGGGAGCATGTTACCTATGGGATTTACCCATACAGCAAGCAGAACAGAACATATCACAAGTTTTATTACTGAACTGAACATTACAATTTTGCAAAACAAGCTTAAGAGCAAGATTGTTCGGATGTCCTAACCTAAGATGCTACATGTAAGGCAAGCTATTAGAAAGAGAAACAGTATTAGCACTAAGTGCAGCATTATTGGAAGAAAAACTAGAAGAATGCAATAGGGACTTAGCAGGTTGTGACACATCAACAAAAGGAAACTCATAGAGTCCATCAGCTTCTACATGACCTTCAAGAAGAGTGGCATCAGACACCTGACATTTAACAAGACACTTGTCAGCTGAGAATAAAAAGTATACAGGGTTATCCTTAGAAAACTGACTGACACTAAGCAGATTCTTAGTGATAGCAGGAACATGAAGGAAGTTCTTGAGAGTGAGGTGTGTGGTAGGATGAAAAGGGGAAGGAAAAGAGCTTGAACCAGCTGACTGAATAGTCAAACCTTGTCCATTACCAATGTAAATTTGATCATGGCCTTCAAAGGGAGTCACATGTTGTAAGTTCTTTGCATCACTAGTGACATGGTATGAGGCGCCAGAATCAGGAAACCAGGAGCCAGATGGAGATGGGGAAACATTAGCCACAAAGGTGCTTGGAGGTTGTGTAACAGCAGGAAGGTAAGAAGGCACATCAGGGGGCCTGGTCCACACATAAGGAGAGGCTTGAGGTGGTGCTTGTGTGTAATAGGCATGAGCACCCTTCCAATGAGGTTGCACATAGTTTGCACCAACAGATTGGAACTGATAGTTAAACATGTGCCAACACTGCAAGGCAGAATGACCAGGTTTGGAGTAGACTTGGTACTGGACATTAGAATTGGAGAATCTGCCACCTCTGCCACGGCCAAACCTACCACCACGATGACCTTTTCCACCTCTAAAAGGTTGATAATCCTGCACTTGATTAAAATGACCAGTGTGAGCAGAGGAAGAATCAGTGGCAGGTGTTGGAGACTCATCTGTTGTTGGTGGTTGAGGCACAACATGAGTTAGGTTGAGAGAAATCAGATCTGGAATTGACTACTTCTTGAACTTGTTCAAGCGCAGTTCATGAGCCAATAGAAGAATTCCAACCTCATCAATGTCCATAACTCCAAATTTGCTTTCAATAACAGACACAACCGGAGCAAATTCAGCAGACAAACCCTCAAGAATCACATCAATATGATGTGACACAGGAATTAGATCACCAATGGATGCAAGCACATCAACAATGGTACGAATCTTCAGCAAATAGTCTTGAACAGAAAGAGTATCAAGTGTAAGAGCACGCAATTCAACACGCAGGTGGCGTGCCCTAGCACAAGTTTGTTTCTGAAAATAGCTTAAGAGACGATCCCACAGTTCATGAGAGTGGTTACAGCCAAGCACGCGTGAGAGAATTTCACTGAAAAGTATAGATTGAAGCCAGGACAACAGCAATTGGTCCTTCTGAATCCAGCGAGAATACGCTGGATTGACAGAGCCGGAACGACGAGCGGCATCATCAACAAATTTTGCTGGAACACGAGCGCATACCACCAGATCTGTGAGATCATGCGCGTTAATGTAAAGTTCTACCTGTTGACGCCAGAGATGGAAGTTCTTTTCATCCAGCTTCTGCGCAATCTTGAGCTAGAAGTGCAAGCGGCGAGAATCATCCACCATCGGCACCGGAGACGGCGTTGGTTCAGGCGAAACCCTAGCGAAAGACGGAGGCGATGGCGAAGAAATCGAAGCCATGGATCGACTCAGCAATCTGATACCATATTAGAAAGAAGAATAGAGAAGAGAAGAGTTTTCATCTGTAACAGAATTCTGTTATTCAGTTTTCTGTTTTTCAGTTAGTTACAAAAGGCTCCTTGATGCTTTATATACAGTATCAAGGATAACCTGCTATTACAGGTTAGGGCACACTGTAACTTACAGCTGCCAGTCAAATACATAAACAGAAATAGAGACTAAACTACTTATGTACTCAATATCTTGCAATAAACTTAAGATATCATGTTAAATGAGAGAAAATGAGAGACAAGAAACTGTGCCTTTCAACTACATCAATGTGCACCAAGTGTATGCAGCTGAAAGAACAGATTTGGAGTACTAAAGACGCTTTACTCAATGTAAAAAAACTTCCTAAGTTGACGGAGATGTTGTATGATGATCTATAGTCCAATTAGTGTCAGATAATGCAATTTAAGGACATGGAGAGACTGTTGAGGCAAAAAAAAATCATCCTTGAGAATTAGAACTCAATATATACTAAAATCCAACAGAAATAGAGAGAGGGAGAGAGAAGATGAAACAATTTCTTTTGAGTGTTTAGACAGTATATAGTGGATCAACCTGATAACACAGTTTTAGATTGTCTCGCAATAAACTTAAGATATCATGTTAAATGAGAGAAAATGAGAGACATGAATAAACTGTCTTTCGACACATCAATGTACAATCAGCAACAGTGATTAAAAGAGAATGTGATATTCTTATATTTACAGCATATACCTCTATTTAAATGTCAACAACTTGAAACAAATTTTCTTTGTTAAAGCAATGATTATTATGAGACAAAGGGAGTACAATATAAATGATATTCATGTCATCCTAAAGCGACAAGAGAATAAAACTGATATACTACAACAGCATTTAGAACTTCTTCAATGTATAATATGTTTCTGTTCTAATGTTAGGCTTCAAGGATATGACTTGCCAAACCTAATCTATGAATTATGAGAAAAACAAAAACACAAGAATTACAAACAAAATTATCTTCTTTCGTGCGATCTTCCTGATTCATATGTATGTTTGGAAGATTCTAGAGACTTTCTACCTCTGGCATCTGCATATTTATCCTCCTTTGAATCATGAGATGACTTTTGCCGCCGCTGCATATCCTCTGCATACCGACGCCACAAGGCTTCTCTATCTTTTCTTTGAACCTTGTTATATCTTGGATCGGGTTTTAAAAGACGTTTTGCAGTAGACCATGAATTAAGCACTGTTTTCCCATCGTCAGATTCCCGAGATGCAGCTTCAGAAGTCAAGACTTCAGCTAGAAGAGCTCTAAAATCATGAGCACAACGCTGGCCAATCACAAGAGTCATAAATGTAAGTAAGCACATTTTTAAACCAAAATACACTTCTACTCAAACAGAGACCCTCTCCCATTCAAATGGCCCTCTGTCCCATGTATCAGTTAAGAATAAATATACAGTACATATATAGGAAAGTACAGGCAACAATATAGTAAGAGAGAACGTCACAGATATCACTAGCATCAGATATTATCACTTACTTCCTGAAGCATCTTTATATGATCCCAGAAGAGTTTTTCCATGTCAGTTGAATCAAGAACAGAATTGGTTGCACGTCCTTGCGGATCTTTTTCTATCTTGGGCTTTGATTCTGTCCATGACGCCTAAGAACATATACAAACAGCAAATTTTCCAGTATAATTCAGCCTTCGGGTCTCAGAAACTCATTTGCATTCATCTTTTTTTTTTTATGTTCAACCAAACCCTCCAAATAATTAACTAAATGCAGTTTAGTCCAATTCAAGATGGGAGTAAACAACATTAAAATGGAATCCATGCGAACAAAGCTGGAAAAATATCAATACTAAGAAACCAAAATTAATTGTTTAAAACTCTAGCACCTAAAAGATATTCTAATCCTTTCAGATTTTGAAAAGGAAATTAATCTTCAAAATAACAACAGTAGCAAGAAGAACAAAAGCTTCATACCATAGGGTCTTTGATTCTCTCCACGAGTAACGCTTGAAAAGAAGTAACTGCCTCTTTCCTTCTAATCTTTTTTCGTACTTTTTCCATTTCATGTTCTTCTCTTTCCTTCCTTTTACGCAACTCCCGCTCCCTTTCCCGCAACTTCTCCTACAAATCAGTTTTAAGAGTTTTAATTTGTTCAAAATCAATGTTATAATAAGTTACTAAAAATGAGCTGCTAGGAGAACATCTGTATACAAGTAAAATTGATACTTCGACTTATATAACACAATCCGACATAAAACAGAAAAATCATCAATAGAGCCTGTCAGAAGTCACTCTAACAAACTAAGCTTCCATTTAGCCAGAAATCGTACATGTGAAGTAGTTTAACAGTATTTAGCCGCTACAAACTAACAGGAGCATCATGTCAAGGCATCAATTAAAATAAAAAGTGGATCCATTACATATTATGTAGTAACCACCTAGTACCTGCTCATCCTTTTTAGCTCTGGTCTCTCGTTCTGCTGCATGTTCAGCAGCTTTCAACTCGGATATATACTCGTTGAACAAAAATTCCCTATCCTCGTGTTTTATAGATTTATATCTCGAATCATCTCTTAAACTCTCTTTAACCTGCATCAACCAAACAGTAAAATTAAACACCCCACAGAAAAGTAGAGATTAACATGAACCAAAATTACCTAAACATACGTAAGTGGATGTAAATGGAGATCTTAAATGAAAAGCATATGATTTTTCAACTGCCGACATCATTCTTAGTAACAAAGAAAATGTTTCTATCTTGCTAGCACTCCGATAAATTGTCAATTGTGAAGTAAGAGTTATTGCACCTGGCCTTTTAGACATCATTAAAATCAATGGCCAAAATCCATCACAAATAAGTTTAAACAATAACTCATAGGAACACGAAATTAGAAAGTACACAGGCTCACTTGTTCAGGATTTATAGAAAATATTAGCTTTAACATCATACTACTCAAAGGAACTTTATCCAAAAATCAATATAATTCCTCCTAAAATTATAACAAAATTTATATGTAGTTGAGCTTCAAAATATTGTACAAATATTAACTACTAAAAGGAATTCTGCCATTTTCTTTTGTAGGACCGAGAAAAGTTTTCACTCTGAACATAACTCAATCAGTGTGTAAGCAACAGCTCTCTTTCTTATTTGGAATTTATCTATTTTCCTCTTCTTCTATTGCTTACAGATCATTTGCAATTCTAGGGGCATGTAATAAAAAAAAACTAAAGTCATTCAGTCACCAAAGTCCAAAACAATAGACCTTTCAACAGAACTCTTACTCCACCAATACTAATTAAGCCTATGAACTGAGCTCGTGATTTGAACTCGACCAATACTTCTGGAAGCACGCTTTTTAGGGGGGTGGATTGAGAAAATACCATAAAAAAAGACCCACAAACTTGGTTTACATGTCATACAGACACAGCACTTGAGTTAAGACATGTGCTTCAAAAGCTGCATCTTAAAAACAGAAAAGTAGGTCGCAACTTATTCATAATGTTCCCATACCTTGGACCAACGGGAGTTAAAAGTGATATCTCCTTGTTCTTTAAGCATTGATTTAAAACTGGCAGAAGCAGCATCACGTCTTGCTTGAGCTTTTTCTTCAGCAGCTTTCTTCAAAGGAAGCACTCTGAAACACAAACATGAACCCCATCAACTAGGATTCTGCAAATATCACATTGACATAAGAAACCATTTACCATGCCAAATCCAAAGAGTTTAGAGGGCATAAGGACACACCCACAGTGAATCCGAGAGTCTGTCATTAGCCTACTACCTGCTGACTCATGTTGCTTTCAAGCATTTATCATTAGAAATCATTTCGCTGTCTAGGAAAAAGTCCAATATCAACGCAAATGAGGATCCAAACCAAAACAATATAGATATATTCATACAAAAGTAAGAACTTAGCTGAGTCGGATGTACCAAATTTTGAGAAACAAAAATCAAAAAGGATGGCTTGAAAGGTGCCGTTCATTTTGGATGAACTGTTGCATACAACAAACATACTGACACCGGTGAAATACGAAAACGCCCGCATAGAGCAAGCATGAGTTGATTTTTTTGCTTTATGCCTTTTGTAATAAGGAAATGAATTACGCTAACAAGACGTTCCATCTCACGATGTCCTTGGAAGAGAATGTGGAATTATAAAGAAGTAACAAAGGAAATATTATGCTTTCATTCCTAAGGTAAAACTACTAGATGCTCTAGAGCCTAGATGGCCATTCTAAAATATATATGTATGCTTGGCTGTTGCAACAGACCAACTTAGTTACCAGGATAGCAAACCCTAAAGTTAAGATCAGTGTGAAAACTAAAAATCCAAATAACTAATTCAATGGCAAGGATGGTGATTATGTGAACACACCACAGTACAAAGAAAATGAAGTTAAAAAGTTCAAAAATAACCAATTAAACACAATGTGGCACCTTTCGTTAAGAAGATGCTCCCGTTCCTTGCGGTCCAATGCTTCAAACCGGTGATCGTTTCCCCATTTCTTTTGAAAAGTGTGATAATCAGTGTTGTCATTAATATCCTGACAAACAAATTATCCATAAACTTTCAGTGGTTGCACAAATTGAAGGTAGATAGGCTTGATAGCAGAACAATTATATGAACAGACCTCTGAGGCTTCATTTAATAACTGCTTAAACCCCTCAATTACAGCCTTCTGTGCAGCACGCTTTTCTTTGCGTTCTACTTCCGCACGAGTTTTAACATAATGTTCAAACAAGGATCTCCTAGCAGAATAACTAGGGATAGCCTGTATTGACACATATTACCATTAATATTAAATTTTGCAGATAGCTACAAAAATAATGGGGTTAAAAAGAATATTTTAATAGACACAGACCTACAAAGATGGAGGAGGGTATATCATCTTTTGGAAAGAATTGAGTAAACTTTAAAACTAGATACATGATCACAAAAAAAAGTTGAGTCCCAACGCACTGACTGAAACCCATGAAAGGTAACCTTAAACCATAAACTAGGTAAGGAAAAATTTTCCTGCAAGAATTAAATTAGACATGCTAACCACACACCAAAATGGATATCAATCGGACACCATAAAGAAAAACAGGTGTAAGACAAAGTTCAACAAATTTTCTCATTGCGCTTGTACATGATTCATGGACAGCCAAACCAATTTGTATGAGTTCCTGATGAAGGAAGGCTCTAATTTTCAAATAAAATAATGGAAAATATTTGATCACAAAATACCTTAAAACGGGGATCAAATACTATCTTTGGTAGTTCTTTCTCCCACTTTGAGAATGGGGCCACACCTCGCTCCTTAAGCATCTCCTACAAAATTCATAGGAGCAAATAAATAAAATATAATAGTATAATACTAGATTTAAACTAACGCACATTAGATAGTGCATCAAGGTGTATATTGTTGCTCTACTCATGACACATTTTAATATGACCAGAAGTAGAACACACTAAAACCTTCAACCAGAGAAACTTCATTATCGGGTCATTAAAATATGTAATAATGTAGTAAGAAAGGAATCAATTCATACTATCAAGATTTTCACTCACCGTGTAATTTTTGACATGCAAGCAGTCAACTATCAGTACATAATGTGTATATATGAACAACTTAAATTTTCCCTTTTTGCTTCTTGTCCAAGAGCAGATGCATTACCAAATTCTTGTAAAAGTTCAAGCAACTTCTCTTGGACATGTGAGGTCAATTTATTCACTTGAACATGTGAGAGTAGCACAAACACCTCTAAAAAAAGGCGTGTCGGTATCAGACACATGTACCGACACTTATGATTACGCTTAATTTATTCATTCTTGTAAATTATTACCGGTGTCCCCGTGTCAGTGTCAGGGTCGTATTCAGGGTGTCCGTGCTTCATGACTAAGTTATCAGACAATAGATTTCCCATTTGTAAATAGAGAAACACTGTGTTTCATACTCGAATCAAACAAATAGAATTCTAGTATCTGATACCGAGTGAGACATATGTGTGCCACCAAAAGCCCTTTTTAAATTTTTTTACAGTAGTTTAACTGCACACAAAAAGGGAAGTACAAAGATAGAAGATATCTTTCACAAAAAAGTAAAAAAAACAGGAGAAAAAATTAATAAGAGCTAAACTTATAAAAACAAAACCATCAAACCATTATGCTTATCCAAGTGAAAAACATGCTGAAACACCAAGGAACCCTTGTATTTCATACTCAAATCAAACAAATGGAATTCTAGTATTTGGTACCAAGTGAGAAATAAGTGTGCTATCAAAAACCTTTTTAACTTTTTTACAGGTAGTTTTACTACTCCCGGAAAGGGAAGTACAAAGATAGAAGATATCTTTCACAAAAAAGTAAAAAACCAGAAGAGAATAAATTAATAAGAGCTAGAACTAATATAAACAAAGCCATCAAACCATTATGCTTATCCAAGAGAAAAACGAGCTGAAACACCAAGGAAGCATAGTTATCAATCCCGGATAGCAGAGCGGAGTGGTCGACCCCAAAAATGGGATAGCGGATAGCGGGATAACTGTTATTTGACTATTTTGTAGACTAATTACACGAATAATCTATTAAACATATATTTTATGTAAAACCAAACAAAGAGGAATAGAGTTATTAAATGACTATTATTAAAAAAACAGAGGTAAAGAAAAACAGATATAAAATCAAACCAGATTTATTTATTTTAAGGGTAAATCTGGGTTTTGGCGTTCAAAACAGTTTAAAGTTCAAACCCGCCCGGGCTGGGAAGCGCCCTGCTCCCACTACCAGCTAAACATCAAACAGTGGCCGCTAAACATAAAATAGCAGAGGGTCACCGCTCCGGGCCGATATCCCAGGATAGCGCCAATAGCGGCCGCTATCGATAACTCTGCAAGGAAGTGTCAGGAAGACAACCCAATGAGCAATAGCAAAAACAAAGAGTTCTTTTGAAGCTAATAGGCATTAGCTCTTACTCGAAACTATTAAGGAATCAGTTCAACTGACAATAAGTTAGTTGAAACTATAATAGATTGGCTTAGATTTGGTCTGCTACATTGTAACTATTGTACAGTACCTTTCCTAGGCCTAACTAATCCCTTCAAATCAGGAAACTAACTAACAGAAGTTAGTTAGACCCTTGAGCTATCCTTTGATCTATAAATAGAATAGTGCAATCAATCAGATTTCTTAATATACAAAACTGAGGGAAAATCAGTTATAGAGTTCTCTGCATTATCTGCATCAAATCTATGAGATTCACACAAAGTTAACAGAAACAAAGCACAAGAGCCTAGCATGTATGCCTAGTGATAAATCATAAAAGTGCTTCAGCAGAAACATTTAAAGTATCCCATTGACATATCAAATGATTTTAGATTAAACTAAAATTCTATAAATATGATCTATGTGATAATAACTTACAATCCAGCAGTGAGTTTAATAATATAGATATCTAGTAAAAAGATATAGATACCCAGTAAAAAGTTATTGAACCATGCAGGATAACACAAATATTACAAGAAATGCTGGCATAGTGACTCTACTTAATAACTCTTTTTAGGCATCAAATTTCATCAATTCTAGAGTAAGTTGATCCCCGTCCATATATGCATACATATACATACATCCAACCAAAGGCAGGGTACCTAAATTAAAACTGTAGTAGATCATGTGCCGTGATTCTGGAAAAAAGTTGTTTTCTTTTCTCAATACAAATGGTGTAATAGCCTGGGGATATCAATTTTAAATACAAATATTAAGAAATTTGATATTCTTCCATGGACCATAAATTAATTTTAAAATATATAGAAATAAAATGAATGAATAAAACCAAAAGTATGACCAAATATAAATATAAGGGTGGAAGAAAAATTTAGAAAAAAATAAAATAAAAACAGGGAAGTCATAGGAATATTTCAATGATAATTTAAGCATGGTTAAAAAAATTAATGCAATCAGCGAAGGATCAGGTTTCCTCATAACAGAAACAATGACAATAATAGTAGGAAATAAGTAAAAACAAAACTACATCAGCTCAAAGAAAGAAAGAAATTTACCTTAAATTGATTTATGCACTCCTCTTTTGAAGGCCCGCTATCCTCATCGTCTGAATCTGAAGATGTATCAGTGACATTAGCATCACCATTAGCATCTTTCTGTTTATCTTTACTATTATCATTTTGCAGGCTCTTAGCTGTAGAGTCGGTTGCTTTTGAACCATTTGATTCAGATCCAGGTTGCACTGATGGTGTAGGAATAGAAGAGGATGTAACAGGTGATCCTGATTCCTGCAACTTCTTTTTGATCAAATCCAGTGCCGATGGGGAACTCTGTACACTAGAGGGCTTAGGAGCTGCAGCATCACGACCACCAGTAATAATAGCAGGAGCATTCAGAGCAACCATTCCAGACCCTCTATCAGAAGATGAATTAGTATTTGAAACTGGCATTAAACTATCTTTCGTAACATCACCATCCTGCTTTTTTTTCAATTCAGCCACCTCAATTGGAACTTGCCAGCAGCTTGTCTAATACAAAACAATGGCCAAAGAATAAAAATTACATAATAGAGAAATACCATTACAATTTAGTTAAAAGCAGTACCAGTATATATATGAAACAAAATTTAGCCAATTTTAAAAATTCTAGTGAATATGTTGCTTATTTAGGAAGACTGATGGTGTGGTTAATGTTTCATTAACGCATTGACTTAACAACCACTCTTTTAATTATATCAACAATAATGTATGCCTCATTGCTTTCATTCAGACCAACAAAAAAACTTATACAAGGTAGGACACACCCAGTGCTGATAAAAAGACCACTGAAAGGTTAGATAGAAAAGTATCTATTTTGTGGGGCAGCAATTAACTGTAATACAGTTTTTGAACCTGACTTGCACACTATACACATGTAGAGGGAAAGAACAGTGGGAAGCATAAGAGCCTGCAAATACTTACTTAACTAATTCTATTAATAATTTTATTCCAAACAAAAATAACAGTGATTTGAGATATTTCCAAATGTTTGATCCATCCCGACTACTTGTTCACTCTCCTTTTATCTTTGAGCTGTTGGTTCTAAGCTTTGATTTGTAGCTGCTACTTGAAATGGCCTGTGGGTTATGGTTCGGAAAAAAAAGGCACGGTGATGGATCAGATTGAGAGAGGGTTGGTCACACTTTGGTCCCTTTCTGGCTTTGATGTGCTGCTTCTAGTTCTGTTCTGGTTGTACTGAGCTTCTTGCTGGTAAGTTATTTGCCTGTGCTCATTTTGTTGAAGTATGGTTCAACGGTTTTCAGATTCTGTTTTGTTTCTCTGATTGTGGCATGTAATATCCAATCAGATATTGATTAGTTAGTTTTTTTCTTCCAGTGATTCAGATTTGTGTCAATATTTGTCTACTATATCATGAGTTTTAACTAAATATGAGATGTGAACTTCATATACAACGGGAATATAATTAAAGGTTGCTTATTGTTGTTGGTGGTGCTATCATTTTGAGTAAGTTGTCATAACTTGAGTTATGATTTCTGGTGTTGCTTTTTTCTCTCCCGTCTCAATCCAAGACAAAGCCCCGTGTTGGACAAAGCGCCTGTCCACTTTACCCTGTGGAGAAATCTAACTTCTTTGTAAAATACAGGGCAGCTAGAATCACACTCCTAACGATTTGGACATGTATGGACCATCTCTCTTTAAAGCTTAGGCTATTAGCCGGAAGCCCAAGAGTAATTTTCTCTAGAAACGTCAAATACCTCACATGGAAATTCCCCATACACTATGAAAAACCCATTAACATGATTCCATAATGAAGCCAAGAAAACATGCCCAACACCGAACCAAGTCAATGGCAAAGGCAGTCTTCAGAACTTTTGCATACAACTTCAACCAAATCAAATCAATTAATTTTTTATTCCCGATTTTGCCTCTCTCGTTATGATCCAACATTGAAAAGCTTGCTCAAAATGAATTTATTAAGATTTTTGCTTTTCAAAGAAATCATTTGATCCATGTAGACAAATGACATCTAGCATTAAAAAATGCTTAATTATTGTATTCCAATAATATTACACCTGCTACCAGAGGTTAAGGGATTGTAGAGAGGACCAAGGAAAAGGGATTGTCACAGTGATGCAAATAACACTTGAAAATGGCATGAGCAGGAGTAGCAGTAATAAATAAAGCAAAAAATAACAAGACAAAACAGGCAATGTTACGTCAAAAAGAGTTAATACATCCTAGAGACAAATATACAAGGAAAATGGCAGGCAAAATAGAAAAATGACGGAGATCATTAAGTTAAGAGATGGACATAAATCATACCTTGGTTTGCTTGTTATAGTAATATTTTTTTCCATCACTAGTAGAGACTAACTGCCAATCAGTACCAGGCAAATCTACCCTACAACAGGAAAAAATGGAACTGTCAGATTGTAAATCATTGTTTCAGACTATTAGATAATTTTCAGCCTGAACAACTAACCAATAACAATTTGTCCATCGAACAACAACAACCAAACCTTATTCCACTAAGTTCCGGCTACATGGATCAAATCACGCCATAATGTTCTATCTTAAATCATGTTTCTATGCAATTTGTTAATCTCAAGATCTTTTTTAATAGTTTCTCTTATAGTTTTTCTAGGTCTTCATTTACCTACAGCTATTTGACTCCTCTCCATTGATCTACTCTCCTAACAACAAAATCTACAGGTCTTCTTTCTACATGCCCAAACCACCTAAGTCTATTTTCCACCATCTTTTCTATTATAGGTGTTGCCCTGACACTCTCTTTAATGTTGACATTTCTAATCTTATCTCATCTGGTCTTACCACACATCCAACACAACATTCTCATCTCTACTACACTTATTTTATTCTCGTATTGATTCTTAACCGTCCCACATTCTGTCTCGTACAACACCGCAGGTCTGACCGCTGTCCGATAATATTTTCCCATCAGCTTGAGCGGTACTTTTGTGTCACATTAAACCCCTAAGACCCTCCACCATTATAGCCACCCAACTTGAATTAGATGGTTTACATCCCCTTCTATTTGACCGCCTAATCCAAGAGCAAAGATTCTCTTGAATATCCTCATTATTGAACGAGCACCATAGCATTATTAGCATGACATAATGAGTGGTTGAATTTCTAGCAATTACAATTTATAATCTATTTTGCAGTCCAACAGTATTGATATGGAACACCCCTCTGGTCACTGATTTGTCAATTAGAATATCAAACATAAATTCATACCTCTACACGTAGGGTGTGAAACTTAAGAATGCTGGCTGATATGATTTTGGCAGAACTAAAATTGTATAGCAACATTTAGTTTAGTACCTCGGCCCCGTGTATCAACAAATAGTGATAGGTAAAAATATTCTGCAATCTGCAGTAATTCATATGCCATTGTCTAATCCTCCATTTCATTCTATTTATTCATTTTAGTCATTCAAAGTAAGGGAGTTATCCTCTATTTCTTTTCTAGCGATTCCCCCTTTCCCTCCCAACTCCCAAATGTATCAATAAACATCTGTTTTTAACTTTATTAGCATACCAAGGTCTTCTTTCCTAAGTTTGCAACTGACAGAGTTTTTGACAATACCATTACCTGCAGTGTCAATGACTCCTTTAAACTGTTGAATCATACATGTTTTAATAAAGATATGTAATTAAGAACATTTTGTATAGGCCTCATAGAATACAGAAACAATAGATAAAAAGGAGAAATAAACAAATGAATATTACGATGGGAAAGCTTCCCCACCAGGAGATAAGCAAGGAACTTACATTGAAACTGGAGTAGGCTGCACAGAAACTTGGTGAGCCTGCATACAGATGCAAAATATAAAAGATTTGCATTTACAAAAACAAAGTGATCATAAATTATACTATCACTTATTAAAATAGACGGTTTGTTTAGTAAGAATATGTAACCAAAATTATTCGGTATGGTTTTGCCATTATGGTATTGGTCTTAGTCTACAAATATCTAGATTTCTAAAATTTTCTATCTATTAGTGTATCGATATCCATTATTTAAAATGTTCAAACATTATATACTAATAAGTAATAGCATAAACTATATTAAAGAATATCATGACTTCTAGAATATTTGAAAATTTTATATTATTAAAAAACCATAAAAATGTCTAGTGATCCAAGACATGAAAAGATAGTGATAGAGACTTAGGTGAAGAAGTTGGGCTTGACTTTGGGCATAAGCCAAAAGTGTGGAGGGTTTATACTAGAAGACGTGGCAAAGGAATAAAGGAATAGATTGTAGGAGTTTGTTTCGATAAAATAGGGAAGAGAGAGAGAGAATAATTATAGGAGTTGTTACTATAATTAATCCTATAATTAATGAGTTGTTACTATAAAATAGGGAAGGAAGAGAGAGAATAATTAGCTAAGTTTATGACTATAAAATAGAGAGGAAATAAGGTATCTAGGTATTCTATTTTTTGATTTGAGAATCACCGTCTTGGTGAGGGAAGCACTGCATGCTTAGGGGCTGATAGATATTCTCTATCAGTTTGTTATTTTCATCACCGTTACTTCTTTGTAATTGTTCGTCCGTAATAATACAATTACAATATTCTTTTACTATTCTATTCATATATTCATTGTTCACTCATATATTCATATAAGAACCCATCAGATAGCATGGTCTACTAAGAGCATAGATAGTCAGTATCAATACCTCCCCTTTAAAGCCAGCAGGTTTATTGTATGTCGATTCCCCTGTCACAACATTATAATAGTATAAAGTTCCTGCTTCAGACTTGTGGGCAGTCCAAGCATCTAGTTGATCATTAGCAGCATCCTCATTCTGAGTTATAATGGCATTTAATTTTTTGTCATCTGCAACCATAAGAGCCGCAAATGTAAGGAACATGGATTGTATTTTCAAAACAAAACAATGAACTAATACATTTCAGTGGAGTAGTAGGCATACCAGCATGTGCTGAAATTACTTCTGCCTGCAAACCAGGTGTTCCCCTCAGCTGATGACTGGAAGCAGAAAATGTAGAAATACCAACAGGACCCACAGGAGTAACACCAGGAGGCTGAGAATCAGGTACTGGAACAGTAGGAAGAGTAACACCACGTGCTGGAAATGGAAAGGGGCCAGTAAAAGCAGCAGGATATTGATGAAATGGTGGCCTAGGTATACCACTCATCTGTGGAGGCTGTAACCAAAACCCATGAGGGGGAGCAACCATGGAAGGTATGGATGGATAGGGCAAACCTTGATGTGAGGCATTAGGATCTAATGCATTGGGACCAGTAGGTATATTTTGTCTCAGTCCTGCAGCTGAGGAAAACTCTGTGCTTGGAGGTGGAACAGCAGGATTGGAGGGTATTCTCACAGGTTTTGCTAATCCAGGGGGACCAGGAGTTCCAGGCATTACAGGACGGATGGGAAAAGATGGGACAGTTGGCATCCATAAAGTAGTGGGGCGATAGTTAGGGTCGGATGGTGGCGGCATTGCAGATGTAGAAGTAAGAGCGGGAACAGGATGTAGATTACTTGATGCAGATGACATTTTACTAAAATCTTGTGTACCGGAATCTGGCATGTTCTGCAATTAACAAATCGGAGTACGAGGAAAATATTATTAATTTAGCTCTTTTCCTGAATACTGCACCAATTAAATTATACCAATGCTCATCAGCCGTTAGTTCCTAAATTACACTTTACTCTCTCATTAATTACAATTATTATAAAATGGGGTAAAATTTTTTTATACTTATAATATGGTATGGAGAGGGTATTCTACAACTCGTGACCAAATTACTACAAGATACCCATCCCTCAATTTAGATGACCAGAGTAAACATATACAATAAATTTGAGTATAAACCATCCTAATTGTTTTCTACTACTGAGGGGCAATAAAAAAAAAGTAACAGACAGGCCCCATCAATGCTATTACAATAACGTCACCCAGTTTTAATATAATAAAACATTTCCGTTGTTATTTAAACCTTTTTGTACATCAAATTCAAAGTTACTTGCACTTTGCATCATACTTTATGCAAATTCCAATTTCCTAAAGCATGTGTCTAATATATATGTCAGGCTCAACTATAGTCCACAATCACTTAGATCAAAGGGAGCACTCAATAGGCACCATAGGTGTTTGTATTAGAGTACTGTGCATTAAAATTAAAAGGTAGCAAATAGGGATGAAATCATGAAAATATATCAGACCATCTGACCAAAGCCTATAGCAATCTACACTATGCAAAGCCAGACTTAATTATGAAATAAACTAGGTTAACGCTTTTTCAAAAGTCTAATTAGCAAAAATGGTAAGGATTTAAGTCATCTAAAAAGCCTTTGAGGCCAATGATCTATTACTATAGTTATATATTAGAGGTTTTGTATAATATGTTAAAACCATACTCTTAATATCCTTCCAAAGATTTGAGCATGTTGACCGACATACAGACTTAAGCCTATAAGCTATTTAATGATATAAGTTATGACCTGTAAATTATTTAATGTATATAATGTTTATCCTAGTTGGTATTTTTGTCCTTTAACCAAGTTAGAAATAGATGAATGACCTATTTATATATCTTGATATGAAATATGTCTTTAAATTGACTATAGGGCAGAAGAAACTTCCAAAAAAAGCCAGGCATAGCAAAAGAAACCTGAGCAAGCAGGCTTGGGACTAGAACTGTTTTAACAGGTCAAACCTACTTAAGCAAAGCCTTGGGTCGGTTCCATCCCAGCCAGTTTATTAAGGAGAAGGCAAGGTTTCAACATTCACTTGCAACCACCGTTGTTTGGAAGAGAAAGGAAAATTACTTTCAACTCACTTCAATTCAAAGGTAGCTGCAAGGTGGGTGTACTTGGTTTCCAACTGTCCCATACTGACTGAGCAATTTTCATTCCATACTTTTGCCTACTCGAACAAGCATAACTTAAAGTTTTAATTTGATTCCCTAACATACTGAATCACCCAAACTTATCTCCCCACACACACAAACAAACATATATTCAATATCTTGACCTGCACACTCATCAATTTAAAGTAAAAGCAGGAGTCTTACAGTTGTAGATTGCGCATGTTGGTTGCCAGTAAAAGCCAAAAACGAAGGGGCAGCGGCATGTGGAGGGAGACCACGAACTGGAGGTTGAACAGGCATATGAGGAGGATTAACAGTCGAATTCGGCTTCATCCCCTGCATCAAAAGACAACAATTATAACCGATAATATAGAATTGAGCTACAACATCACACATAAATTGGTGAGAATTCAATCAAGTTGATACTATACTAACAGAATGTGACGATGAGTGGTGAGAATTCCCAGAAACATTGACATTTTGATGTACCCCGTAAGAGATTAGTGGTGCCGGTGATGATGCAGGAGCTGCAAAACAGTTGCATTATAGTAAAAGTTGGCATAAATTGAATAAATAAGAAGCATAGAACAAAAACGTAAAGGTGAATTAATGAGACATACTTGCAGAAGAAGAAGAAGAAGAAGAATTAGGGATAGAATTAGGCGTTTCAGTAGAGTGAGGTTGTTGAGCCATTAAAACCGATATATCTGCATTCAAAACAATCACTGAGCGATGGAAACAAACAATTTCGGAAAAGTAAATCGCAGTTTCTGACGCGACGGATATGAAGCTTCGAAAATCGTGAAAGCGGGGAGAGAGGGAGTGTGTTGACCTGGTTTGGTTGTTAGGGAAGGAGTGGTGTTTGGGGTTGGGAGGTGAGGGAAATGAAACTGGAGTTGCAGATCAGTCACAACTCCAAGTGAGTTGTTTGTTATGTTTGGAGTTAGGGCTTAGCTCACCATTTGCATTTCAAGGGTTTTTCTACTTGATTAATATACGGAGTATCTCTCTCTCTTTTTTTTTATGGGAATTACTAATCACACCTTAATCGGTGGAAAAGTACCCGATGAAAATTTGAAAATGTTTCTCAAATTTTGTTAATGTCAATGTTTTAAAAATCAAGTTGTTCATTCGACCTGCGAGGATATTGAATCATTTCAATAACTATTAAAAGACATATGTGTTCGCACGGGTCGCACAATATTGTATATACTATGGATATTGATTAAATTTATATTATATTAGAATTGAAACTAACATATTGATGTTGATCTTCTGAAATAAAAAGACAAAAGCATATAATAAATTATGTTAAAACAAACATAAAAACATAATTGGGATAAAGAAAAATTAATCGGAGTCATCACTTATTACATACTTTACTCTGTTTTTTCTCACATGCTTAACGTAAAGTGTCTTAGAATCAGATAGGTAATGAAAAATCAAGACATCTCCAACATTTAAGTTTCTTGAATTTGCATACTCATACCAACCATTTCCAAGATACATCTCAGTATGTGGCCATTTCCCTTAAGAATTTTACAATCCTAGGGTTGCATTTCATCAATGTTAAAGTGGTATGATCAGCACAGAAACTTTTACTAACAATATCAGTTGGAATATTCTACAAAAAATAAATGTATTGTCAGTTGTCGTTCAATAAATATGAAATACAAAATAAATGAAAAAATAATTTCGAAAATATTTAGAATGATATATCACCATGCAATTTTTTCCTCCCTTATAAGATTTTGTGATTTCTTTCTTCCAAAACAATTCGACATTGTAACCTAAACGGTTGAGATGGAAATTCTGAGCTCTTCCATTATGATTTTTGCCCATAGGTACTGCAACATCTTTGTCCATTACTACATCTTTTGTATGCAAGTAAATACTGCACAAATAAAAAAGAATTGTTATTAATGAAATTCGATGGAAAAATATTTGTAGTGACTATAAACAAATTGTCAATACTATAATAAGAAATATTTCTAACATTTGGAGATGAATCATATGTATTGTGAGAAATGAGAAGTCATATATATATTTGGTGGATGTAATAAATATCTATTTTTAATAAAGTTGAATAGATTGGACCTAAAAAGTTGCTTTAGAAAAAGGGGGAAATATAAATAAAATAATACTTAATTATATAAATCAAACGTGTAAAGAATACTAAACAGCAAAAGCAACAGCTTGCACGTGTATGCATGACAACATTTCATCTCTCAAATAAATTAACATAAATGCAATACTTATGACAAAAGAGAAGTGTGGTTCTAATAAGTTGTTCATCTAACCAAGAGATATGAAAAATGTTCATCTGACCCACAGATTTAGAAATGCATCTTGCAGCGATGCAACCTTGGAAACTGAATTCATTGATTGGAAATTGTATCATCCGATATTGCATGTGTTTCAATTGAATTTTCCGTCTTCTCTCTCACTCTCTTGCTTTGCTCACATCGATAATCCTAAGAGCGATGCCGCCGTTTTCAAAATTTTCATCTCTCTACTTCAACTGAAACCACCTAATCGGAAAGCAGAGAATTGAGTGGTAGAAGAAAACTCTACAATGGTTGGATTTCAGACGATAGCGTGTCAAGCATTAGGTCAGTAACTGATTTCCCTTGTTTTTTAATCTTATTTTGACTGTATTGTGTATTTTTTTGATATCTCATTTGATGATGCTTTAGGGTTCATGATTTGGATTTGTTTATGTTATAATTTAGAGTAACTTTTAGGAATTGAGTGGTATGGAGATTTCAAACTTTATAATTTTGGTTGACGGTTAGGGTTCATTGATAAAGTAAATTCATAAATATCATTCCGCCATTATTTTTATCAATGATATAATCAGTTGTATTCAATCAGGGGACTATGGAATTATGATTTTAAAATGTAAATTATTAAGTATTATGTTGATGTATATAATATGTGGTGTTATTGTTGTTTATGTATCATGCATAATGTTGTAACAAACTTAGCACTGTTATTTCAGTGGGGAAGCAGCCATTAATGTAATTCAGGGACTTGTTAATGAGGTTGGAGAATGTTCCGTAAAAAAAATTATGCTAAGAAAGGTTAAGAAGGTAATGCAATTGATAAGGAATCGGTTAGGTTTGTAGAAACTCGAAAAAGTCCACCTTTAGATGTTCCAACTTTCAACAACATGAACTTTGTTATGAAGGATGTTAAGATTGAAGATGTTGATGTCTCCATTGTTGCTAGAAATGAAAGTGAATCAATTAAAGGAATTATGAAGAAGTCTAAAACTATTGTTGAAAACAGTATTATCAAGAAAGCAAAGGCCACTGAGAAGAGCTGTAAGAGCAAGTCTTTGAGCAAGACAGACAACGACAAAAATGTTTCAAATGGTAATAAGAAAGCATAAATCAAAAATGTAAAGAAGACAAAAAATCTATTCAATGTTAGAATAAAATGGTTCGGGGAGAAGAAACATATTGCTGGGATATTGCAATACAAAATTTCAAAAGCAAAAAAGAAAATGTTCAAGTAATCCAATTCCAAACTTTTCTGTTATGTTAATACAATAATGTTCTGAAAAATTAATCTAATGCAACATGTTTATATAATTGCAGCATTTCCCAAGGAAATATCAAAATATTACTTGGGAAGGAATCAGAAGGAGATAACAATTAGAGATGTTGACTTACATGAACAATTCAATTGTATAATCAAGACAGCAACATGTATGGGGGTACCAAGCCCAATTGAGAAATACATGACCAAAGGATGGTACAACTATATGAAGACCAAAGGATTTAGAAATGGTGACAGGACGATATGTCAAGTGAGACGATTTTCTACGTATGTGTATGTGTATGTCACATTGAAAAAGAAATGATGGAAAAGAACAACGTCGAAGTGGGGATTGTGAAAAGATATTATTAAGAAGTGTCTAAATTATGTTTTTTTGTTTTTTTTTTTGTTCTTTTTAATTAGGTTTTGGGATGTTATGTTGTTTGTGGGTTGTGTTAACACCCTTTTGGATGTTATTTTGTTTTGTATGAATTTAAGAAGACATGGTGTCTTATAGATAATATCATACTCTATAATATGCTTCAATCCTCATATTTAATGTATTATAGTGTATTTCATATGGTGCTTGAAAAACATGTGTTTGTTGTATGATAGTAAGATTAATCTTAATTTCTCAACGATTGCTTTATTTCTTAAAAATATAATAGCTTCTATTAATTTTGTCAAATAAGATTTGAGATTATTATATTCATAAGTGATTTTTGACACAATATGATTTATCATAAAAATAAACAAATAAGCATTTAAAGACATTATATGTTCTATAGTTTATAATATATAATAACAGTAATTTATGTAGTTATATTTTATGTTTGATATTTGGAGATAATTGCGTCGTATGAAATACGGGCCCGTAACTATTTATCGGCCCAATATCCATATGTGTAACTACACCTATATATAGGAAGTTTTGAAATAGTGCAGCCAAATACACATTATTAATTGAACTTTGAAGATTGTGAAGTGGAGGGTACCCTTTGTTCCTTCTCCTTCCAGCAGGTAAGTGTTTCTTGCATGCATAAATATACTATCTTTTTAAAAGCAAAATAATAGTTATATTTTATCAATTCATGCATGCAGTAATATACTTCCTTATTGTTGTATCCCAAAAACTGCTCTCTCATTTCTCAAGGATTTTCTCACAAGATCTTCCATGACATCAAGTTTGCAGCACTGATACATCAATTTAGGTCTGGAATTGGCACAAAGGCAAAATGGTCAATTGCATACTGAAAAATAAAACTTTGACTTTTGGATCAAAATCAAGTTTTAAGTATCATATTTCATCAAGACATGTTAGAACATGAAGTTGGTTTCATTAAGAAAGTCAAAAATCAAATTTGCTTTGGAAAAGTTAAAATTCTAAATATTTAGAAATTTTTCTAAGTGTCAAAGAAATATGATAATTTCATAACTTCTGGCCAGATTTTCACCATGATGCAAGTTCATTCTGGAAGAAATTCTAACACTAGAGTTGTAGATTTCAATGAGATCTAAAATATTACAGAACAGAACTTCTCCTAGAAATGATGGGATTTCAAGTTATACATCTTTGAAAGCACGTCCATGAGACAGAAGCATTCAGTAAATTCTGGACATTTCCAAGACATATTTTGGTTAAAACTTCTGGGCCAGTTTTCATGAAGGTTCAACCAGAATTTGCAAGAATAATTCAAAGAAGGTCTACAAAGCATGTTACAAGCTTTTTGAAAAGTCTGAGAACTCATTCAGAACATACTGGAGCAAGGAGATTCAAAGATCAGAAGATTGGATATTTGTTCTAAGTTGCGCTAATGCTGAACTACTGATCCAGATTAAGCTATGATACATAATATTGTATTGCAGATTTTCTGTTTGATAAATCTCATCATCATTTAATGCTCACACCTATTTTTGAGTCTTTATCCAAATGATTTTCCCACGTGTGGCATAAAAGTATCATTGTTGTCCTTGAAAAGCAAACTTTTGTACAAGTGTATGATGGGCCCATGCTTTTCTTTTGCCTCTGAGGGTACTTTTCCTTAATTCATGCTTACAAATCCAGCTTAGGCACGACTAAAAGCTGCTAACCACCCTACTTTACGCCTTGAACCATACTTGTTTAACTTGCTTCAAGAACAAGTCAGCGC